TATCCACACAACCTATTTTGTATTATTCTGTGCGTTGTGCCCACCACAATTGTCAAACACTAATGCGTGCCTTTCACCCACAACAGCTGCTATAAATACCACGACCAACACCACCACCTCAGCCTCTGTCTCCGCCAGCGTTTCTGGTGCGGCCTCCGCCACCTCAACTGCGACAGCAGCATCCGCCACCGACAGCGACAGACAACAGGTGGTGGGGGGGTCGGCTAGCTCACGTAAGCGCGCCTCTAGTTTCATACGCAAGAAACCCCCCCTTGAAAGAGGTTTGTCAGCACAAAGCGCTTTAAGAGTTAACAAGAACGCATTTGTCTGTATGTGTAATTTGTCCGTGAGATACACGCCCCGAGAGCAAACCCCACTAAAGTCGTTGTCTTTTACCAAACTTCCAGCGGAGGGACCTGCTCCCGAGGTGATTGTCACGCGGCCATCGCCGGATCAGCAGACGCATCCGCACATGCATGCCCTCGGCCTGCGACCGGACAATGCCACACTGGTCCATGTGCTGGTGCACCGCGAGAGCGAGGAGTACAAGGAGGAAGACGAGGGCAGCCTGTCCTCTACTGGCAATGGCAACGGTCACGAGAAGCCCAAGCCGCCGCAGATACGCATCAGCACGGGCTCGTTGGAAAGCCACATGGACACCTGTCTGATGCCCACCGTGCAGATAATGGTGGACAGTCCCAAGGAGCCGCCACGCGGAGATTTCAGTACGGAATTGGCTGCTTCACCGACAGCCACAGCGATTGGTGTGGAGGTGGATGCATCTCCCATCGATGTGAATGTGCAGGGGGACACATCGCAGGTGTTCTACGACTACAATCCCGACAAGGCAACTGGCAACGAAATTATCGAAATGGACACACTCGCAGAGGATGAGACGCATGCGTTAGCTACAAGAGAAAGCGAAGCAGATTCACTTCCAGCCCAGGACCAGCAGAGATGACCTTCGGTCAACAGTCGCCAGCAGGATTCCAGCAAAAGCGGCAGCAGCAGCAGCAGTAGCACCAGCAGCAGGATCAGTGTCTGCTCCTCATCAACATCAACATCAACATCAACATCCTCTGCTGTCGCTGGTCGGCGTCCAAGTTGACAACCTCCAGCCTGAACGCGAATCCGATGCCGATTACTGTGTGCATTTGTCTCAGAACTCGTAGTTTCTTAGGCTTAGGCTTAGGCATAGGCGGGGCCGGGGTGCCCCTTTGTTATCATAGTCGATTACCTATATATACATGCATACATACATATATATATATATATAAAAGTCGCTTTATACGATATATACACATATACAGATACATATACATATACGGAACTATCCAAATTTATATACAATATCAATCAACGATGGCCAGAACATGCAGGAGGTGGAAAAGAAATCAATATTAAACTCTGTGTTAACAAAAACGTGCATTAACAAATCAAATCAAAAAAAAAGAAAAGAAAAAAAAATGAAGAATCCAGAATCATAGAATAGCTTGTCACAATCTGAATCCAAATTGGTATCGTTGTCGGAGAAGAGGGGGATAAAAAATGTCAATAGCTTACCGGACGTTCGGTTCTTAGTCGTAGTCATATCGGGGTATTTTCTTGGATATTTTCGAAGGTTGTCTTACAAAAAGATTGGCATTACATGCATACTCGAGCATTCAGTACACACACACACATTTACACATACAAACGTGAATATGTAACAAACTATCGCGGTGGGATCGAGGCTCATGAAAGTAGATTTATTTTCTCAATTAATGATACATACATACATATGAATATATTTTGTACATATGCCAAAGGAAGTATTTTAAACTAATGAGCTAATACTATACTTTTAGATATAGGGGATAGATAACCTTTACATAGCGTACGCCGTACGAGGTCTTAACATACGTACATATAACATTAGTTAGTGCAAATTTAATGAAATATTTATAAAGGTTTTTCGTTACGACTACGATAACGCATACAATTACCGATTATCGGTTATCGATTACCAATACGATTACGATAGCGCTAGCGATAACTATAAACGATTATTATCCATTACCGATTGTTCGAAGTACAAAAGCGAAGTATTAGTAGATTTGATTATTATGTACTGTACATACGAGTATCTGGTTATCCACTCCCTCACGCCCCAACAACTTACTCGTACACACACACTCTCTCTCTCTCTCTCTCTATATATATATACATCTCTCTTCTTCAGCATACTTCAGTAATATCTTAAGCCATAGAACAATGTCAAGTGAATCCAATCTTAAGCCCATTCGGGAAATCATATATCCAGCCAGCACAAGTATCGAACTCGAATTGAATCGTAATCAAACCAATCCAAACCAAACAAAACCAAATCGAAATCAATCAGCAATCAGCCAGATGAACCGCAGTCCTACCTAACGAATAACTTTTATTGTTGTGAAATAATGATTAGTTAACTTATTATATGATTTAGAGTAGCTTAAATCAAAACCAAGTTGCAACAATTGTGGTCTCCTAAGAAAGAAAAGAACAAACCAGTAAGCTTCCACAACAACTCTATTTTAACATAATGATTTACACTTTACACCCATGGAATGTACGTGACTTCTTTGTACAACTTTGATAGGGGTTTGTTTGGGGGCCCGGGGCCAAGTTTCCAAGAAACTTGCCGTGTTTTTGTTACATTTTAAGTGTTGTTCTCTCGCTCTTAAGTCGTCATTGTGATCGCATTAAGTTTACACATCGAACAGGATTTTTGGGGTATGATTATTTACGATTATTATGTACATACATAGTAAGTACTATACGAGGAAAACCGAAACCGAAGTACACCAGCAGCCTCCAAAGCAGCAGAGCACACTCCTCTCGACTTTACTCTACACTTACTCTTAATCTATTTCCGAAACCTAACAACAGACAATCAGACAGCGATTGATAGTAAATTGAAATTCTATGGTACCAACTAAATCGTTTTCTCCAAGAACATACAAAATAACGTACACACAACAAATTAATTGTGATTTTAACTGCAATTTTTACACAGAAAACGCAACAACAAAAAAACAAAACAAAAAACAAACAAAAGCAAACATAAAAACCAAACTAAAATCATAATTTTAAATTAGAAATGTTAACAGAGATAGGCGAAATATGGAAAATGTGAACAAAAATTACCAATGGGAAACCCGAAAGAAAAGAGAAGCAAACGCAAAACAAAACCAAAAACCAACAACAGACAGAAACCAAACACTCGTCAATTAAGTGATATTTAATATTGGTACATTGCCTAACAGTTGCAAGCATTATATATTGTATGACATAGGATTTACAATATTTAGTACTCGTATTCGATTGTACATAAACGATAAAAGATAAACGATAAACGATTAACATTAACGGTAACGGTAACGGTAACGAAATAGCAATAGAACCTCTCATCCAATCATTAAAGCAATTGACAACCCAAACCAGAGGAGGAAGGAAGTTTTCATTTGAGTTCTCTTTCAATAATAATCGCTTCAAACGATATTTACGATTAGTGAGCGACGCGACACGAGCCGATGCAATGATGTGGGAGGTTTAATTTAGTCATAGAGTATAACGACAATAAAATGAATGAGGCATATTCAATTATATAGACATCGTTACCAAAAACCGAAACCAACTCAAATGAACACAGATCAGGCCATAGCGCCACAGCGCAACAGAAAGCGTAAAACAAATGATGATTAAAAACATTTAGATTTTAGATATAACTCGTAATCGCAGTAGATAATGCTTTCGATCCCATTCAAGTCGAGTCAAGAACCAAATCAATCGAGCAAATGCAGCAATAGCAGCAGAAATTGAAACAAAACCGAGTCCTATGCATTTAAAGCTCATGGCACCGCAGCTCAGCACCGAAGCAGCAGGAACAGAAGCTCCTAGTAGCAGACGAGACGATGACTAGGGGCTAATTACGTATAGTACATACAGATATACCTATAGTTAGCAAAACGGCTGGTTTGATTAGGCATGCCTTACAGAATACACGATTTTATTTATATATACATATTGTTGAGATTAAAGTATATATGGATGATGAGGGAGGAGGTTGGACGGAAAACGTACGGACAAAAGGGGAACAGAGGAACACAAAAAGAAACAGCAATACAGTTAGATATTTATTACGTACAGGAAACCGAAAACAAAAGCTAAAGCAGCAGGCGTGGCGCACAATTGTTTAACACACTCTGAGAACTAAGTCAATTATTTTGATTTGCCGCCTTATTGGTCGTCCTAGTCCTAGTCCTAGTCCTAGTCCTAAAATCGCAGCAGTAACAGCTTTGGCATAATCAAAAATCAATTAAATATTACACACAAACCAGAAGAGACAATGCATAGTTGTATAATAATTCCTATTCTAGCTTAGCTTAACCATTGCCTGCGCTCCACTCACGCGCTCCCCTCGCTCCAAGCACGCTCCAACGGATGAAATCAAAATGTTGGCTTAATTTGTCTCTATCAAAACGATAATTGGGCAGCAAATTGTTAACAAATTATTGCCGCATGGTTTGCATTTGCATAAATTTCCATTTGGATATTTTCATTGCCATTGACTGCCTCGTTAGCTAGCCCTTTAGAGCCATCAACTTATGATTGATTTGATCCGCTACGCTCCTCAGCTCCGCTGCTAACAATTAATTTATAAAACAAACCAAAAGGGTAAAAAAAGAAACGCAAAAGATTAAGAACCATTAAGAACATAATATGTGGTTAAACAATACACTCAAATTTTGAACCGAATCATATCAGATGCAAAACAAAATAAAACTAATAACAACAAAATGAAAACGCAAAAAGGAAAACCAATTAAAGATAATAATTATAATAACAAAATGAAAATTCAAGAATGCATAAGTCTAACATTTGAAATTTCAAAATATTTACTCGGGTACAAAATGGTACGTACAGTAAAGGTATTCGTTTATACAATATTTACTGTCTATATAACCATTATATACTACTTACTTACTGACAACAAGCAAATTATTAAGGGTTTTGTTCAATTTCATTATTCGTATGTTAATAAAAACAATTTCTGACTAACTTAAGCTGCGAGTCTGCTTTGAATGCGGGTTATACACACATATGTTAAATGCTAAATAATTACTCATTAAATAAATACTATAGCTGAGTCCCCCAATCCCCAGCAGAGCCCGACTAAGTGCGCTCCTGCAGCACTTGCAGCAGATGGTCCAGTTTCTGTTCGATGATCTGCAGCCGTCGATCGTTAATCTGGTCCCGCTGACGCCTCTGCTCCGCACTGGAATTCTCATCGATGAGGGCCAGGGCGAGTTTCACGGTCCGGCCATCAATCTGGGAACACTGGCCGGTCAGCACGGAGCAGCAGCAGGGCAGCAGCTTCAACGGCGGATCCAGCAGCTTCTTCTGCGTGGCGCTCGTGGGCAGCTGCTGGAAGCTGGTCGGGCTCTTGCCATGCAGGGGCTGCAGCTCGAAGCCATTGCTCATGGGTATCAGCACCTTGTTGCCGTCGTTGGGCAGCACCGAGATCTGCCGCAGACTCAGGTAGTTGGGGTAGATGTTCATCAATCGCTGGCAGATGCTGCGGAAGGGTTCGCTGCCCACAATGAAGCCAGCGTGTCCGTCTCGGCCAGTGAGAACTTGCTCGTAGCGGGTCAGCAGATTGGTGCGTACAATGGCGCCGTTCAGCTCCGCCTGTGCCTTGATCGCCTGCGGAAGAGGGGATTAATCTGTAGTTGAGTCAATCCGGAAATGAAGAGGAAATGTGCACCCACCTGAGTGTCGCTCACGGCCAGACCATTGAGCAGATTGAACAGCACAATGGTCATGAAGAAAACGAAGAGCAGGAATATCAGATAGGTGTAGACGCTGTCGAACTTGATGTCACCGGCATCAAACTCTCCCGTGAGCATTACAATCGTCTTGATGAGCGCCTCGATGGGCACCGAAAAAGTGTTGAAGTGCCCATCGTCCTTTCCCTCCTTTGCGGGCTCTGGCGTGCTGTCCTTCGTGTCCACCTGCGGCTTGCCAAACAGTATGTAGAAGCACAGACTGAACGTCAGCACAAAGATCGAGTAGAGGGCAAAGCTCTTGATGAAGCTGCTGGAGACGGCGCGCAGCATAAGCATGTGGGTCGATATGGAGAGCACTGGCAGGGAGCCCACCAGCAGGCAGAACTCCAGGGACACCAGCAGAATGGTGAAGACGGCCAGCACGCGCTGCGTCTCCTTGTCGTAGCTGGCCTCCATGCAGGTCAGGATCGACAGGACGATGAGAGCCACCTCCATCAAGTTGGTGATGGACCAGAAGTGCAGCAGCGGCGACATGGCAAATTGAATGACCTCTCGGACTATGAGATACACAATGCCTATCCAGGAGAACAGCCCAAAGAGTGCAGTCAGGGCCGTGTGGTCACTCTCGTGGAACTTGAGCAGCGTGTGCGTGATAATGGAGGCAGTGAAGAGCGTGTAGAGCAGAAAGTTCAGATAGAAGATCACCGACAGGCGGTGCCACTTGAGGAAGAGGAAGCTCGAGATGAGCGGATGCTGCAGCAGGTGGCGCAGCTCCTTGGACTCGGCAATGTACGCGATTGGAGTCATCTCGTCCTGCAGTTGGTGCGGAATGCTTGGCCGCTTGTCCGACTGTCCGGACTCTTGCTGCCGTCGCATCAGATTCTTGTAGTTGATGACGATCTCAAAGCCCTGGTCGCCGGGCTTCTCCCCGTTGGTGGTGATGCAGGAATCGAAGTGCTCCTCGAGCACTTTCGGGTCCATCTCCTGTATGGGCAGATCCCCGAACGCGCTTCTGGCCCCAATGTACGCCCCATGTTTGAGTAGCTCCTGTGCCACCTTGATGTTGCGGTACTTCACCGCATAGGAGAGCGGCACCTGGCCACCCTTGTCCGCCTCGTTGATGTCCACACGATCGCTCTCGAGCAGCAGCTGCAAGCAGCGCTGGTGGTCGCAGAAGTCGTCCAGTGGCTGCTCGTCCAAACGACTGATCACAGCGTTCAGCAGCTTGGAATTCGAGTTCAGCCTCAGCTGCGGGTGCTTCAGGAGCACGTCCAGGGCCCTGTGGTTGCCCCAGATCACGGCCAGCTCCACGGGGCTGATCGCATTCAATTTCGTTTGATTGATGTTGATGCCCGTTTCGAGGATGACCTCGAAGGCTCGTTGCTTGCCCCGCTTAATGCTCTCCTCCAGCAGGGACAGATACTCCTCCTGGTTGGCATTGCGCTGGTTGTCCGCGTTGCCGCTCGCGTTCTGGTGATACTCTGCAAACTGTTGCTCAAACTGGGTCTCGTCCCCATCCCGTAGCGTGCGGAGAAGTCGCTCGCAGTCGATCTCTGCTCCGGGCTCGCGCAGCTCTGGCAGGGACAGTTCCGGGTACTGATCCTTCAGCATCTGGCGCACCTGCCCGTTCCGATAGCTGTCAATGTCCAGCTGGGGCTGGGTTAGGAACAGCCCGATCAGCTCCTTCTTGGTGCCGGCCTCAATCTTCCGGTTCTTCAGCACATGGTGGAGGGGCGTGAACTCGCCCTGGTCCACCACATTCGGAGAGGCGCCGTGCTCGAGGAGCAGCTGGATGCAGGAGCCCACCATTGAGGCATTCTCCGCTGTGAGATTCTTGGCCAGCGAGTTTAGGGGCGTCAGCTGGCTATACTTGCGGTCCAGCTGGACTCCCCCATGGCGCAGCAGCACGGCCAGATTCGATGGATCCCGCGAGTCTGCGGCATAGCTAATGGCAGCCTTGTTAAGCTTTTGATTTATCTGTTGGAGGAGAGTCCCTTAGTAGAAGATCGTGGCTGGAACATGTGCAACTTACATAGTTCACATTGCAGCCGTGGGCCAGGCAGGCCTCGATAAACTGTGCGCATCCCGGTGTGGACAGCGCCTTCTCGTAGAGCGTCGTGTGTCGCTCGTCCTGGAGATTCGGCAGGGCACCGTTGTCCAGGGCCGTGTGGAATTCCCTTATATCCCGATTAGCTAGAGCTGCGCTCAGCTGTCCCTGCGGATCGATGAAGCCGCAGTTTTTCACATCCATTTTGCTGTCTGCAAAGAGTCAAGCGAGAATGGGGCGGATGAGCAATGTCAACTACAACTAATCTTTTCCAACCCACGCTGCGTATGGCATTTCTATGGAAATGATGCCAGAACCCGCATTGCTCGTGCTCCGATTTGGTCGCTGGAGGTCTGACCTAGCAGACTGCTTCTGGCTAGACCTTGAAATGGCCAAAACAAAGCATGAGAGTGGACCCCCGCAACAAACGGCATTTGACAACGCTTCATGCTCCGATGATTTTCACACAAATGACTCTGTCTGTGTCTGTCTGTTTCTGTCCATGGAGCCGACCAGCAGCTGGTGGCCACAGTCCGAGAGCCACAGCCGAAAGCTGCCCCACAGGTTTCTCGAAAAACAAAAGACCAAATCTTCGTTTTTGGGGCAATTAAAGAAAGCGTCTTTAAGTGGTTTTTGTGGTAGGACGGTACCAGTGCCCTCCCGTGTAGTTATTAAATTATAACAATACAACTGAAGACAAGACAAGGTCTGAGAAGTACTTAGGCTGAGAAGTGGCCTGTGATTGGTTAAAGTGAACTACAAATTTGAACTCGGCCGCGTTTTTGGGATATCAAAATTTAACGATCATAAAGAATAATCATAAAATAATCGACACATCAATATCAATTAGCAATCAATTGGTTACGCTCTACGCTTTGAATACTGTTCCGAATGGAGGGTTTAGATAGAGCTCTGGGGGAGTGCTGAAATCGTGCGATTTATAGTCGGCTTTTTTCGTAAATTTCAAGGCGGCTTCTTCTGTGGGATCTTCTCCAACTTCTTCATCTCCATGGCTGTTCTGTTCCGTTCTGTGCTGTCTGCTTTGATGCTTGAAATGTGTGAGAAATCGGCTAATCACACATGAGACCAGGCTAATTTGAATATTCTCCCAATGATTGTATATCAATAGCCTAAGAATTGGTAATCAGGAAGCATCTTCTCCCCCATTGTGGGTAGCTCTTGGGCTAATGTATGCAAACAAATTGTGGACTGTAAATAAGGCCCCTGGTGGGCTACAATTTGTCGCTGATAAGATAAACAAAATCGCACAATCACCTTCCTTAATTGGCCCTTCATTTGGTCTCGACTTGTTCTCCCATCTAACCCCATCTTTCCTCTAGTCTGGTATTTGTTTGTCCAGCCGAGTACGAGTGCAAGTATTTGTCCAAGCAATTGACAAACAAACAGATTCATTGTTTGCCTAAGCCGAAGCTCAACCCAAAGTCTTACTAAGTCTTTGGTTGACAGAATGGCGTAATACTCGAACTCGCAATAATTAACAGAAAACTGAAGACCTTCACCTCTTAGCCGCATCTGAACCTAGTAAATGGGAGAACTGCCTGAATTATTGATGCATTTTGGGGGACAAACTCTGCCATTTGTTTCGCAATATTTGTGGCACTTAAGCAAGGAAACCTGTAGAAATCGCAGAGTATCCGGAGTCTGGAGGGGAATGCACTAACAGCCTGACAGAAGAAACCCGTTGATCAGGTTTGCGGGGAAATGCAGAAAAAAAAGAGTCGGGTATGAAAATAATTGCACTTAACGGGAAGTCTTGCACAACTCTCAGCTGCAAAAAGCAAATGTTATGGGATGGAGTATATACTTGTAACGCGGGAAGTTTAACGATTGTCAGCATTTTTGTGCCCCCTCCTCTCAGATAACACTCACACTGAGAAAGGAAACTTCCATCAAAAAATATGTATACATAATATATCTTTTTTTGTCTGAGTGAATTATATATTTATCTGCTTGGAGTCTGTTGGAACATCTGGAATTTGGAATCAGAGCTGGAGCCTCTGAAATTTCCCAAATTAGCTCTCAGTGTTATTCAGTTCTTTGTGTTGCTGGAGAGCTGCGAATGTGAAATCTCTTCGCAAAGGGGAAGTGCCACAGGGGTCGGGTTAATCTAAAGTTCTGCATGCGATAAACTATATATATTAGCACAGCTGAACAGGCCCAGCTGCGTTTATCCGTCGGGTCTGTCAAGAAGTACGAAATCCGATCGAGTGCTGAAATTCGGAACTCGCCATCGTGACTGTGAGACAGACCCTCCAGCAGTCGTGGGAGGAGGAGATCAGAGTAAACACTACTAAAATTCACTTGTCCATAAAGTCTGTTTATTGGCACACAATTTATGGCGAATTGTATACATTCTCAGCATTTTTTGTTGCATTTAATGAAGAACAGACCAGACGATGTGTTTACACTTGGCATTAAGACTGGAAAAACAAAAGGCAATAGCCAACTATTTCAGTACGTAGAAAAAAGTACAGCAACAACTACTTGGGAGTGGCAGAAACAAACTGAAATCTTGATCTACAATAGATGTTGCTTTTTTTTGTAGTGAAACGCAGCCCCGAAATTGTCATCATAAAAAGTTCATAATTAAGATTAATGCGTGCGAGGAGCTGGGGCTCTGGAGTGGAGCTGAGCCCAAGCATGACTTCATGCCGAACTGCCTCCGAGTGGCATCCGCAGACAAAAAACAAGCAACAAAATTTAGTTGTATACCAGAGAAGAAATGTTTAGCTGGCAGCAGCTCACAAACACATGGGCACATGCTTAACTTAACTAAAGTGGATACACACACACACACACACACATGGAGCACATGTACATGCTCTATATATTGGATATAGTATACCACTCGTTCGTACTCGCTGTGCACTTCATAAACAATTGGCTGGCCCACATCATGTACTCGTACAAAACACAACAAAAGATTCGAGAGGGGTGTGTGGTGTGCTAGAGGGTGGGCGGGGTGTATGTCAGTCAGTGCCCCGCACGTTTCGATAATTTCGAATCATTTAATTAAGTCCACATGAGGCGGCACACACGATTCTCCCCCGAACTTTCAGTTTACAATATAAGATGCCCGAGAAACTAATTAAATATCACTTGTATTTGCACTGTAAAAGAATCTTATTGCTCCCCCCTTTTGGGACTACGCCTTTGTGCACTGCTTAAAGTAGAAAAAAAAAACGAATAAACAAATAAGCTTTGTGGGCGGAGCCAAATCGGCAAACGAATGAATCCAGCCAACGATCAAATTGGGCCCCTGTCACTCGTGTGTATCCACATATCGCCTAATCGATAGATTATTTAATTGGTAATTGGTAATAAAGAATGCAAATTCAGCACTCGGTACATGTGTAATGTGAACGGAAGCACTCGACGCCCAAAGTAAATGCAAATGAAGCGAGGCTACGATTACTCCCGAACCCGACTGGGACTGGACTCCATTTACTGCTGTTGCACACAATCCGAACGGGAGGGGATCGAGTGATGGTCGGACACGATTTGTTCGTTTATTTCTTCATTATTTTCATTACTTGATTATTTTCTTGCTAGAAACCAAAGCACAATAAACACTTGAGAAAACGGGCCACCGCAGGCGTTGTGTTGCCTTTTAGGGCATCAGCATAAAAGTGATCGTGACCATTGACGGGCACGGCCCACGTTAGAAAATCATTTTTCGAAAACCTCCTTCTGGCGATGATGTCACAGTATGAGTGTTAATTCAATATTTTAATCATTTATCAAATGCAGTTCAATCAATTAATTAGCTGCCGGCGACGTCATTAAAACAAAAGAGGATTTTTTGATTGTATTTTTGTTACTTTCGCCGTGGGCGCCGTTTTTCTGCAGTTTTTTAACCTTGGCGTTAAATATTTTAAAACTTGTTTTCACTGTCTCTGCTGCTATTGCTGTTGAGTGGGCTGGAAGTGAGCTGATCTTTGCAACTGCGGTTTTACTCTTTCCTGCATTACACACATACATGATTCATTCACAGTAACTAATAATAAATTAAAAATCTCCGCGACTCATCATCGTCGCATTCACAGCTTAAGCCATGTCACAGCACAGCATCACTCAGTCCTGATTTACATAATCGTCGGATGATTCATTGATTTGCTTTTTAGAAACACCTCAGGGGTTTTTTTAAATCTACGTTTTCGAAATATTTTCTTAAATTCTTAAAGATATTTACATCGATCAGCACTGATGGCACGCACGTTACTTTCTTCTGTCAAATCCAGCGAACGAATGAAGCATTGAATACTTGGCGGGCCGTCTAAATAAAACGGCCGTTCGATCGGTCGAGGGCTTTCCGATCGCTAGTTGTGCTATCGATAGTCAGCAAAAGCTTCAAGCTTCAGTCACGAGTAGCAAGAGAGCGCCACTGTGCACCGCATGGCGTAAACAAACCACAACATACCTCGGGGCTTTCGCAATTTTCGACTTCTGAGCCTGAAATCATTTAATATAATTTGAATGCACAACAGCTGACTAGTGAAGCTACAACAGCATACCATTGAAAATGTCCTTTAATATATATTGTGAAGTATACAAGTCCTGACTATTTGTACAAAGTGAATTAAGGTGAAAACATCTCAAGAGGCACATGAACATTGGGGTAACGAAGACAATAGTAAAATCTAATTGAACGCAACTCTTAAATGGATTAAGTATGTGTATATTAGTATCCGTTAGAGCTCATTTGGACACAAAGAGCCCGTTCCGGACGAGTTCGATGAGTCCCAGCTTCTGAGAAGACCAATACAGCAGGCCCGTCATGATCAACGTCTTGCAAATACGATCCAGGCAATACAAGCTGGAATTGGATTTGGTTTAAAGAGTTACATAATTATTATTGCAGAACTGCTACTCACAATCTCAGCTGTATGCGCGATTTCGGCAAGGAGGTGAGGGGCTCCTTCATCACATACTGGCGACCGCCCAAAATGCTCAGCTTCATGTACTCATAGTCGTCCACATCGTCGCTGTTGATCTTGAAGCTACGGGAGATCGTATTAGTCAGGTAATAGAGTACAGATATGTTTGTGTGGCTTACATTTTTCGATCTGTTTCTCCCAATTTATGATAGATCTGCTGGAAATGCGTGGACTTGAAGTCCCAGTTGCGCGTGGTGAAGAACTGAAGCACCTCCAGACCCACAGAGACCTTCGTCTGTACCCGGACCATGCTAAGCAAAGAGGAATGTGAGTACAGTGAGTACACCATGAGGAGTGGGATATGCCAGCTCTTACAAGCGACGCTGTCCGAAGATGAGGAGCAGAAAGTCGATGATGTAGGCCGGCAGCCACATGAACATGATCGTGCAGAAGGTGTGGTACAATTTGCTGGACGTCATGTTGCCATCCGGATACCAGAGACCCACCTCGAAGGGGTACTTCTTGCCGAGATCCCGGCCCACGTCCATGACCCATTTCCAGGTGCGTTTCTTGGCATCGTCCACGGTCAGATTGTAGACTGGTATCTGCAGGGGCCTGTGACAAAGGCAGGCTCTATTAGTTACCCATGGGAAGTGTGGCGTGTCCAAGACTTACCTCTCCTCCACGAAACTGTTGTGGTACGGCAGCAGAATCAACCCGTTGATGGCTATATCCACTGGTATGACCTCCGACCTCAAGTCACCGTTGCAAATCATGGATCGAATGACGCCCTTGCCGGCGCCAATGAGCACGCCCGTGGGTCCATTCATGTTGTCCACCCAACCTGGCAGGGGCTCAGCCACAGCGGGCGTTACTGGTGGAACAGAAAAGATGTCAACTACAGTCGAACAGACTCGCACCTTAAGATTATCAGTGGAGGCCAGGGGTCAAGAAGAGCAAACAACGTTGAAGATAGAGATAGATGTTTATGTACAACAACCTAGGAATCGTATTTATTTGGAAACATAACCTCGAATATGCGTAACTATGACTAAGATTTGTGACTAAGTAAATGCCTGTGACCACCAAACAAACGAGAATCCAAAGACTATCCAGAATCCTTGGTCTCAAAACAGGGCCAAGGCCCCCGTCCACTTGAGGACATAGTATAGGAACAGACCCACAATGACAGTCTTGCACACGACATCCACTATGAATTGGCTGCAGAGGGAGAGACACGTGAGAGTTAGTTGGCGTTCTGGCCTCTGGATGGATCACTCACATCTTCATGTGCATGCGGGCCGTGGGCAGGTCCTCCTCCTTCTCCTTCAGTATAAACTTGCGAGCACCGAGGGCACACTGCACCATGTAATCGTCTTCCGTCTCCTTCACGTGCATGTTCATGTTAAAGCTGCCATTGGAATGAAGATTAGCATAAACTCTGAGCTCGAACCTAAGGTACTTACATCGCCTTGTCCTCCTCGTTGAGTTTGTTCCACAAGGAGCAATAAAGTTCGGAGCGGAAGGACCAGGCTGTGAGGGTAAAGAACTGAAGCACGCCCAGGCCCGTCGAGATCTTCTCCTGCACTCGCACCATGCTGAAGGGGTAGAGCAGATTCAGTGAGTAGGAGAGACCAACTTTCAGCTAGATTTACTTACAATCTCTTTTGGCCAAACAGAAGCAACAGGAAGTCGAGGAAGTAGGCGGGCAGCCAGTGGAAGAGCGAAACATTGATGTTGTGGTAAACTTTGTTGGTGGTCACACAGGGATCCGGATACCAGAGGCCTGCGTTGAGTGGTATCTGCCTATTGATGCGCTTGCTCAGCTCCACCACGGTGCCCATTGTCATCTTTCTGTGCTCCGCATTGGTGATGTTGTAGACGGGCACCTGGGCGGGGCGCTTGGCCTGCTTGTTAAACTCGTAGGGGATCACGATGAGGCCATTGATGGCATAGTCCACGGGTATGACCTCCGCTTTGTAGTCCTGATTGACCAGCACAGATCTGATGACGCCCTTGCCGCAGCCGATCATCAGACCCGTGGGTCCATTCATGTTGTCCACCCAGCCAGGAATCGGTTCATAGGCAGCAGGCGAGACTGCGGGAAGGAGGCGAAGAAGTCCGATTAAAAGGCCATCAATTGGATACGTTGGAGATTCCAAGTGATTGATTGACTCTACATACCACGAAAGCACCAGAATGATGATCACCGAAGCCGTTTTAAGTGTGAGTTTGAGTGTTTGTTTGTTTGTTGAATGGGAATGTGGTTTGGAGAGTTCCATGAATGAAAGAATGAATGAATAGTGAATGTAGGAATATATTTATGTAGTCTGAGTATATTCGTGTCAACAGGTAGAGAGTGTGGCGCTCGATTGTGTTGTGTTGTGTTGTGTTGTGTAGTTTGTTCTGTTTGTGTTGTTTGTGTTGTCTCGGGAGCGGATGGTCCTCAGCACTGGATCAACACTTGGACACTTGGAACACACACAAACACACATATGACACATAGCACATTGAATTTTGTTTTGTTTTTCTTTTTGTTTTTTTGTTTTATTTCACATGAAACATAAAATATCACTTAAGCTATAAAATGAAAACCAGATTCGAGGCACTCGAGTGGTGCCCCGAATGTAGTGCCCCAAAGCGAACCTAAGCAGAGTTTGAGATTGATTTGATTGAGGAATGCGCGCAGATGAATTTGAGAATTGTTTTGGTCCGAATTCGAACTCGAAGTCGAAGTCGAAGTCGGAGGCCACCACCTTAGATGCCCAAGAGACGTGCCACCACACCGTAGGTCCAGTAGCACAGGGAGCCCACGATGACCGTCTTGCACACACGATCCAAGATGTACATGCTAAAATGGAAATAGATCTGGAATCTATGGGGTGCAAGTATTGTGGGGCACTCTTACAGCTTTAGCTGGAGCCGGGCACGCGGCAGGCTGTCGGGCGATTCCTTCATCAGATACTGCCGCCCGCCCACGACACACGACTCGATGTACATGGGCACAGTCTCCACGGGGTCCATGTCCATGTTGAAGCTTTCGAGTGAATCTCATTTAGTCAACTTCGGCCACTCCGTACTCTTTGGGTACATACTTTTTCTTGTCCACGTCGTTCATGATGTTCCAGAGGGACGAGTAGGCGTCCGACTTGAAGAACCAGGCCCTCATCGTGAAGAACTGCAGCACCTCGAGGCCCACAGAGATGCGGTTCTGAATGCGGACCATACTAGCCGAAGGAAGGGAGGGAGGAGGAAACTGTCAGCCCTGGCTGGTTTTGTGCCCCTGGCGAAACTTACAATCTCTTCTGGCCGAGCAGCAGCAGCATAAAGTCAATGAAGTAAGCGGGCAGCCAATGGAACAGGATCACGTTGATCTTGTGGTGCAGCCTGTTGGTGGTGATGCAGCCGTCCGGGTACCAGAGGCCCGCCTCGAACGGATAGCGATAGCCAATGTCCTTGCTCATGTCGATCACCTCGCCCCACTGCATCTTGCGGTGGTCTGCGCACGTGATATTGTACACGGGCACCTCCGCGGGCCGCTCCTTCAGTCCCGTGAACTGGTAGGGGATCACGCACAGCCCATTGATGGCATAGTCCACCGGTATCACCTCCGAGAGATGGCGCGTATCGATGAGCATCGAGCGGATGACGCCCTTGCCGGCGCCCACTATCAGGCCGGTTGGTCCATTCAGACTGTCCACCCATCCGGGCACGGGCTCGTAGGCCGATGGCGACACTGATGCAGTGAACGTTGGGTATCATCAATCTGGACAGGATACAGGACACTGCGGATGCGGGGGGACTCCGAGCAATTTGTATGCGTGCTGTGCTTCTCCGCTCAGGCAACAGGAGACGGAGACGGAGGCAAAGTCTTTGGCTGGGTCTTGGCTGTAGCAGCAGCAGCGTGAACAGGCGGGCGGGGGGTGGTGGTTGGGCGGGAGGTAGGTATGTATGTAGGTAAGCGAGGCTGGTTGCAGTTGTTGTTGTTGTTGTTTGCATTGCATGCTCATTGAACTTTTTGGTCAATGACGATGCCAGTCGTAACCCTCTGTGTGCTGTGGTTTCTGTTGCTGTTTCTGTTTCTGTTTCTGTTGTTTTTGTTGTTGTTGTTTAAGCAATGTTTTAACCCCGCCATGTACATAATTTAACTTTTTCTTTTTTTTTTTGTTGGTTAAGCGTTGTTTCTGTTTTGATTGCTGTTTAAACACATTCGTTTTGGTTGCAGTTTTCTTATAGAGAAGCTTCTCAGCGGGGAGGAGCATCTGCAGCGTTGGTGTTGGTGGTGGAGCAGGCGTAAGCGCAATGGGTGAGCAGGAGCGGAACGAGGTCGGACACACACACAAAAAAAGCATAAAAAAACGACTCTAAACAATTAGCAGAAGGCAGCAAGAAGCATCTTAAATGTAGCCCCTAAATGCCGCGCGGACCAACCCTGGCCACTCCCTTAGTCTATTCATCTGCTCAGACATTCATCGTCATGGAATCGCTAAACTTTGCTGCCACGTTGCCAGCTGATTAGCAAATGAAGACGCTATTGACAATGTTTATGGTGTATTTGCCATGCTAAGGGGGTCATCAATGCCTTGAACCCAATCGGAGGTACTCACAGATGGAGACAGAGCTTCTAGACAGGGGCGTTGCAGCTAGGCATGTGCCATCAATTGCAGGCCATGAGCCGTTGATTACCTCGTTATAAAGAGCGTGTGCCCTAGAGGTAATACCCATTGGAACCAGTTAGAGGCTAAGGGAGAGGGCTTCTAGGGAAACACGTTTGGCCTCGGCTTTAGGGCAAATTGAGTGTTACAGTTCTCCACCCATACAATCGTACTGCTATTCGAAATGCTATATAGACGCAGTATAGTACGTATTACGTTCGTTTGTTCAATTATCAATGATCAATCGGAATCCTAACTAGTCTAACTAACTAATTAATCAAAGTCGATGTAAATGATTTAAGATGTTCGGTATATTTGCAGTATATTTTGCATATAAAAGGATATACGTATGTATTTCGGTATATATCTGAGGGTCTGACGGTATTGTTATCGATAACTCAGTTATCGATACAGTTTCAAGGTCCCTCTGAAAAATGCCAGCAACCGGATCACATTTTTATTTTGTGCGTGCTTTTGAGAAGTTCTTGCGAAAGAGGTAAGCTCAAAATAAAATAGCTAACAACAAAAATTGGGAAATCCCACCCAGTCCTCGTGTTCTACGAGGTGCATCAAGGAATTCGGCGACTTCTGGCTGCTCGTTGGAGCCGAAAGTCATGGTACAGCTGGTGGCTCCTGTTATCAAAGCAGAGCCAAAAGCTGACGAATTCTCTTTCGCCAGAATTGGCGGGCTCTAATATTGTCGCTGGCTTCGCCTTCGATTGTGTCTCCGACTCCGTCTATTGATATTAGACACGGATATCGAATGTAGCAGACTCTGCTTTTAGCGTGATAAAGTGAATGCACAAATGACGTATTATATTCGTAATCATCAGCTTTTGGCTCTGCTTTGACAACAAGAGACTCCGGCTTAACCTTGTCTTTCAGCTCCAACTTGAAGCCAGGAACCGCCGACTTCCTCGTTGCACCTCGAAGAATACGGCGACTGGGTGGGATTTTACAATTTTGTTTTGCTAATCATTTTATTTTGAGCTTACAGAAGAGACCGATAATCCACTTCCAACCTCAGTGGCAAAAGAGGAGTTGGATGTTGAAAGTCGCAAGGGAAACATGCAACACATCAAGGAGGACACTCGCATTTCGTTCGGAGAATATCAAAAGAACAAGAACGCCATTCGAGATCCGAGGCTAACATCAAAAGCGTAACCATATCTGGGCCTTAAAATCAAAACGGAGTCGGAGACACAATCGCTGTCGAAGACGAATCCAGCGACAATAGACGACAGAGACTGGATCGCTCTTTGCGTAGAGCAGTTGCAGATGGATATGCAAGAAAGTTTGATCCAACCGAGCACAGAGACAGCCCGCTCTTACATGGATGGAATCATCCCTTCTTCATCTCAGCCGCAGTCAGAGCCAAGATTAGAGCCAGAAACTTTTAACGAGGCAAAATTCATCGCTCTTTTTGCAGATGAGAAGACGGGAGCTACGGGAGAACAGGTTCAAAACCACCAAACAACTGCTGCGTGTCCTATCCGACGATACAGATGATACAGGGGGCTTCCCATAATTGTGATTTTTACTATGTGTATAATATTTATTGCCCAATGGGTTACAAAAAACTATCAAAACTAGAGACGTTCCCTCGCTCTCTCTATCTGGCGTATTGCCAAAATTTCCAATCGAAAAGTTTAATTGACAGACAAATCGTAAATTTTGCAAAGAGACATTCAAGAAATAACCCCAGGTGGCCAACAATAATATAAGCAAATGTCTCGGGGCATCATAGCCATAGACCCAAGAGATATAAAATAATAATAGACATAAACATAGACATAGACCGAAGGCAAGTTAAGCGGAGGCGCAAGATTAGTTAGCAGCAGGAGCAGGCAGCACTGGCGTCAGCGACTACAGTTTCCATTTCCCAGGTTTTGCCATTTAGATGGCACTTGCCCCCCCGAAGGCATAGCCACAGACATAGCAAATTAATGACATAAATAACACTTGTGAAGCTGCAAGCCAAAGCAACATAAACATACATGGATAGGCCACCACAGAGAGCCGCTATGGGCCAAAAAGATCACTTACCGATGCTGGGACGAGCGATGATCACCGGCATGGACTCGTAGTGGTCGCGCACCAGGATCTCGGCCAGGCGCTTCGAGTAGGTGTAGGTGTTTGGATGCGGCTTCAGCAGATCAGGGGTGATGGTGTCGAGCGTCTTCACGTCCATCCACTCGGCCAGGCGTATGAGATCCTCGGGCTTGTGGGGGAACTCGTACACCTTTTCGTACATCACCTCCTGGTCGCAGTTGCAGAAGGCCGTCGACAGGTGGATAAAGGCCTCCAGGTGCTTCATCTGCTTGGCCACTGCCAGGGCGCGCTTGGTGCCCACTAGATTCATGTCGATGGCGTCGCGCAGATTTCCCTCCAGCTTGAGGGTTGCCGCCATATGGAACACAATGTTGGTGTTCTCCGTCACATGCTTCAGGCTGTCTCCGCTCAGACCCAACACTGAAAGAGAATGATGAATGAGGATTTGCAGCCCACACACTTGGATGCGCTTCCAGTACTTACAATCAAAGGTAACGTCGCCCTGGTAGATGGTCACCTTCTTGAGCATGTGCGGTCGCTCGTCCCTGATGCGCTGGAAGATGGGCAGCTTGTACATCTCCTCCAGGCGCGACTCCGGGGTCTTGCCACGCTTCGGGCGGCAGATGATGATCACCTCCTTGAGCGAGTGGCAGGAGTAGAGGAGCTTCTCCAGCAGCACCTTGCCCATGAACCCAGACGCTCCCGTAATGAAGATCGTCTTGTCCTTGTAGTACTCCTGCACAGGCGATAGATCCACCGTCATCTTGCTGCAACAAAGCCAGAGCGAGAGAGGAGATGGTCGATTATGTTGTGGCTGTTGCAAGAAGCATTCCGGGAAGGCAAAAACCAGTCAAAGGAAAAATCGCAATCGACTCGCAAAATGTCGCAAGCTGCAAGCTGGAAAAACTGGGGCTAATTCTGTGCCTCGGCTGGCCGGACTGCCCCCGTCTGTGGCACGCGTGCCTCTCTTGCCACAAAAGCCACCTGCTGCAAACGGGTTTCAGATTGGACTTTCAGTTTCTATTTGGGTTTTCGATTGCGCCTGCACTGTGGATTCGCATTTCTTTGCGCCATTATGCAATGGACCGGGTGGTGGGGTAGCATATCGCCCCCACTCCACGCTCGCTGTTCGGGGACTGTTGCAAGTGGACGTTGCCCAATCTGCATTCGGCTTGGATTGCATCCGCGTTACACTTGGCCACATCTGTGTCTCCACCTCTGAGCGATCTCCGGCCGATCTCTTGCACTTTGGGCATGTCACGACATTTATTGCAACAACGAGCGGACGTGTTTGCTTTTTGGCATCCGCCCAAGCATAATTCATAACCCATAACCCTTTATCATAGCCATATCCATATCCACATTGAAATCTGTATCTGTTTCCCCCTTCGAGCTAAGTGTTTAAGGCGAAAATTGCAATGAAAGCATGACACTGCACCTCTGTCTTTGCAGCACTACACCTTGAACTACACACTCGAGCTGGAGCTAAGGCTGAGACTCACAGACAAGTGTTAGAGATGGAGCTCCAGCAGTGGCTGTGGCTGTGGCTGTGCGGCAAATTGCGGTTCTCCTTCATCACTTAGCACCTGCCTTTAGGGGGCTTGTTACCTAGCCTCAGTTTCGGGGTTTATTGCCAATTAAAACGCGTCTGCCGAATGTGTGAAGCCGAACAGTCAGCGGCAGCTGGTGCCTGCAACTTATGCAAGCATCGAGCGGCACACATTGAGCCAAATTTCGAGAGCCACAAATAGAGCCAGCCGCCAGGTCGAGCAAGTTGTCAAAGCCAAAATCATAAGCATAACCACACAAACTCAAGCTAAAACAACGAAGCACCGACCACGTCTCCATCTCCAGCTCTGTCGGATTGACAGCAAACAATAGACTTGGGCAACGAACTTGAGGGAAGGGCGATGTGCGGACACACTTGAAAGAAAGCCGCCAAAGGAGCGGAAATGGCAAAGCAAGGAAGCGAAATTTAAATGTTTGTTGCACTTCCCTTCTAATTAGAGGCAGGAACAGATGGAAGAATCAAAAACATATTTCTTAGCTTGAGTTTTTGGAATAATTTTGGGTACTTTTGGCTATCTTTCGAGGCCACATTTGAGCTGATTAATATTGAAATCAATCAATCAGCAACTTCTTTCTAGTGGTTCACAAGTTTGGATCTTAAGAGCCACTTATTGTAATGATTTTGAAAATAACTGACCCTACTAAAAGCGACACTATACTAAGTATACTTATAAATGTATGCCATTTGAATTCGCTCCTCTGTTTTGTCATATTTTCAAACCGGTTATGTTAGGTTAGGCATTCATTTGTAAGTAGTAGAAACATTTTTAAATCTTTGTAACTTTATCTGTGTGTGTGTGTGTGTGTTTGTCTGTCTGTCTGGCTTCCTCTTGTCTTGCATATTGCAAATATTAGCTGCGGCCTCAGAACTGACTATCGATGTTGGATGGAGTGGGTCCATTAAAACGATCGAATGTGCACTACACAGTCCAACAATTTGTCAGTCTATGTGTCTGAAGTTGCAGCAAAATGAATGATAGACTGACTGTTTGACCTCTGGGCTAAGGCTTCTGCCACGAGCAATCGTGAGTTTTGTGTGTAGGATCATTAAGTAAACCACTCGAGGCACCATGAAATCGAACAAATTTTTAAATGTTTGGCAATTCTTCGATTCCATTCCCCCCACCCCAGTTGGCCTTTGGTGGCAGGTCTCACAAATACAAAAAATAAGAAAAAAACCCCCCTGAATATGTAAATTGCTTTTTGTATCGGATCGGACACTGATACAAAAATGAGATGAAGCCCAGGCGGGGCATAAAATTGACAAAGCGACAACACAGCGCAACGCAACGTGTAAGCTCCGAATCAAATTTATGCAAAGGGCCTCCCCCAAGGGCCTCACTGCCACGCTCACGGAAATGTACCAGCAAAATGTGTATAAATATTAAAATATTTAAAGACTTAATATTTTGTATCTAGTGCGACAGTTCACGACACGACCCTGACATACACAGACACAGACGCGGACAGACAGACAGACAGACAGACTTGAGACGATCATGAGCAAGTGGCAGTAGAGCAGACAACAAGCAGCTCGATTATACAAAGATGTTTATATAATCTCCAATTAAACGCTTCGCTGGGCAGGTAAATGTTTCGAATTGCTGCTGCCATTGCAGCAGACCAATTGCCTCGAAAAGCGAAAGACAATACCTCAATCAAAAGACAACTACAATTGTACGTAGAAATATAAACAAAACCATTTGCAAGGGACCACCAAGGCGCTTTATGGCGAATTTTTTTGATGCATTCAAGTGTTTCAATTACCTAGAGTGGTTGGGATTCTTTTCTTCAATTAAAACGCTTGCAATTTCGTTGAAACAAACACGTCACACGCGAACGCGACTCGATGCGAGATTAGAGACTGCAGCGGAGTGAGACAGTTCGGATCAGATCGGCTCGAATCGAATCGGATCGGATCGAGTTGGAGATGGAGATGGAGACTGGAGAAGACACTCGATGTGCACGCTACGACACTCGACAGAAGACTGAACGCGGCCAGGCCAATGCTTGCCAATATGAATGGGTCTCTGAGTGGGCTGGCCTGGGGGGGGGACTCTGGCCCAACTGGTTGAAGTTGAGGCACTCGCTATGGGATGTGGCAAACCATAGCGAAACGAGGCGAAATCTACATAGCCTGGGGGTACGAAGGTGTTTGTTGGTACAGAAACCCATATATCTATTAGTTTGGACAATTTAGGCGGAACTGTCTCTGCTCTGGGCTGCTCCAGTGCTGGAAGAGTGTTGTCTTTTGGCACTTAGTCGCGGCTAAAACATTCCCACATCCCAGGGCGTAAGTAAACATATTTGATGGACAATTAGATGCGCAATTTGGCCGAGATTTTATTGGCTTTGCAGCGTTGTTTGAACTCTGCTGCGGGCTCTAGATAAATTTGCATGCATATTCGGGTCATTATTGATGCAAAATTAGCCATGGTCGGATTCAGTTTCCATTACACAATGCTTGCTGCTGCGACTGTGGCTGCTGTGATTTCCATATTGCTAAAACTAATTAGGTGGTTATCAATCTCCTATGCAAATTGCTTTGTTTCCCAATATTGCGAATATACTTAATCAATGCTTACGCTTTCCTCTGCTTTTTGCGAATTTGCAAAACATAAATTCAGCGAATTGCTAAAATTATTGCTGAAATGAATATACAAGTCCATTAATATTGCGAATTCAATTATTGAAAAGGCCGCCACATGCACATAAATTCCTAGTGCGATGACACTACTCGATAGTATTCTTTATTTCTGTGCATCGTTGTATCGATATCTTTCTAACAAATATATCGAAGTTCAATGGTAAAAATCGCACTGTTTATGGAAAAAAACACAAAGAAATCATCTATAGCCGCTCAAGTTACGTCATGTAAGTTTAGAATTTATACCACGAAAATTTCGTCATATCATGAACGAAAACTAAACCTGCCAACCTAAATTAATTTTACATGAATTCCAATGCTCAGTGGCGCCACCGATTCTTAAGTTGCTATCGATAGTGCTATCAATAGTTCCCCGCCTCTACCAACTCAACGTGCTAAGTTCGCTGTCGCAAATTTTTGTTCCAAATTTTAATTGCAAAACATGGCCGAACTTGATGACTTTTTCGCGAAAAAGGATAAGAAGAAGGGCAAGAACAAGACCAAGTTTGTGACTGCCGACGAATTGGTCAAAAACCTGGAGGACAGCACCAAACGGGAAGTGGTCAAGCCAAAAAAACCCGAACAAGCAGCAGCAGCTGCAGCAGTCGATGGCGGCGTGGCAGTAGTGGGCGAAAACGAGACCGACACCAAAGTGCCAGAGTCCGTAGCGGTAAGCCTGGTGAAATCAGCATATCAAAGAGTTAATTGATTACAATTGCTGTCGTTTGTTTTCGTGTGCAGCCCGTCGAAGAGGAGTGGAATGAGATCGAACCTGAGCAGCGCAAGGATTACAGCGGGTTGAAAATTGGCCAGCTGAGCTCAAAGTGAGTTTCGTTTTGTTCTGCTTGTGCGTGTATCCGTATGCGTCCAATTAAGTGTACAATGACAATCTTTGCAAGCTGCAGTCGCCTGATTCCAACGAGCGAGCAACTTCTCTCCCAGATTAAACAGTCCAAATTGCATGCTAACCACTTTTCTCCATATGACAGCTCTGACAGGGAGTCCGAGGAGGCTCGGGCAGCCCGAGTTGCAGCCGCTAACGACGCTGGCAACTACGAAGAGGATGACGATGATGATAGCAATGGCTATGAGAACGTGCAGGTTGGAAAGAGCGGTGGTGGTAGTGGCGGTATAAGTGGCGGCGGCGGTAAGAAATCCTGGAAGAAACTTATACCAGCCGAGGATGTTACGCAAATCCCAGTGCCGATGGAGGTTGAAAAGTCATCCTCAAAGCCCTATGTTTCACCCGCGTTACGGTACAGCGTAAGTTGCGATCACCTGACTATTTGATCATTAATTGATATGTGTTACCTCTTCCCTTTCCAATTAAAATAAGCAGCAAATCAGTGGACTTGGAAGTGGCATTGGCGGCGGATCGCGTGCGCGACGCACTGCTCCGGACATCACCAATACTGAGTTCTTCCCGACGCTCAGTGCAGCACGCCCGGAGGAACAGCGAAAGAAGAAAAACGAACCCGCCTTCGAAGAAGTCCGTCACGGCGGACGCTTTCAGCGCGTGCAGGAGCCGACAACCGCACCCGTGGCGGCTACCAATCGATTCCAGTCGCTCGACGATGAAGCGGACAGCTAGGTGCCAGCTACTGCGGACGCTGTTGCTACCCCAAGAAACCGTTTTCTACCACTGTGTCCACTGCTGAGCTCGCCGCTACATTCGGCAGCAAGTCATTTACAAGTTCGTAGTGTTCGCACGCATATGTCAACTTTTTCTAGGCTTTTTGATTCATCTTTGCCACCTCCTGCTACTGCTACTCCTACCCCTATACCACATACACTATTGTTCATTTCGTTTTGCATTTTTGAAGTATGGAGTCAATGTAACAGAATATGAATAATAGCCATGCGTTGAAATCCGTTTATAAACGTTACTTTTGTATAACCTCGCCGGTTCTCGTTTTGTGTTAATCATCCTCGACAAGGTCCTCCGGACGGCTGTCCGCATAGCTGCAAGAGAGTGCAGATCAGTAAGAGAGGTCGTCTTTGGCCGAAATGGCGGGATCCCGCACTGACTTTTCACTGTACGGCTGATCAGGCGTGTTGTGGTACGAACTCAGTTGCGGCTTGGACAGCATCTTCTCCGGAAAGTTCCGTATTAGGTATAGCCAGCACTGCATGGTTCTGCAACAACACTCAGATAGGGATTACGTCAGATAGGGCACTCTCGTGGGAGCCGATGCTTACCCGTCTGTCTCCGTCCGTATGGTTTGTTCCTCGCGATCGTAGTAGTTGGGGTAGTCCTCCAGCTGGTCCAATTTGGAGAACATGGCCTCATCCACCTCGTAGATCTCGCCATGTATGTTGTTGCCATCGCCAGGTCTGGCCAAAAGGAATGGAATGTTGTACCGGGTGCCCACAACCAGTGGAAACTTCACCGCCGTTGTCCCACGGCCCAGAAATCGTGCGTGGCCGTTCTCCTTTTTGGTCAGCCAGTGATGGTTTGGCTCCCCGCTCTTCAGCGTGCCATACACAAAAACTCTCGCTGACATTCTCAGCATTACAGGCTACAAGTGTGCTTTTCCGCTGGGCTTATCAGTTGCGAGGGTTATCTTGCCCATCCATTTCGCCCCAAAAGTTTGACCAGTCGTCGCAATCCGTTCTCTCTTCTTCTTTGTTGGCAGTCGTTTGCCATTCACCGCGCGACCTGTAGCCATGCACTGGGAGAAATCGGTATAGTCAAAGGGGGGGCAAGTGGAAAATTTCTGTGCTAGCCCCATATCATATGTCCATATTTATGTTTATATAACATCATCGATTAAATTTACTTCGAATTGCTTCAGCTTTATTTGCTTTTCTTTGTCGAAAACTTATGAACTTACAAACTACGGTCGCTAAAATCTAGTTACTGCGTACAGTACATATCATTGTGTATATCAATTGCCCATATATGTATGTGTATGTACGTTTGTATATACGTGTATATATCAATCTGTTAAGTCTGTTTCCCCAGGGTGGGAATCAATATTGTACGGTCTACAAATGCAACTACCGGTAACATTCTATTAATAATTGGCCAGGCTTCCCAGAGCACATCCAAGGGGGAAACCATTAGTTTTGGGCCTCATAGCTCAGATCGTCCTGGGCAGGATGCTTGTGGGTGCGGCGGTGGCGCATGATGTACGGATGGGTGGAGCTGTTCTCGTAGCTGGACAAGTACTGCAGGGAAAGCAGCTTCTCCGGATACTTTTGCAGTAGATAGACCCAGCACGGGATGGTGCTGCAAAGAAGTGAAATAAATGTATGTACGTAAATAAATTATATGCCGATCAGATGTATGACGTCAATGCTCACCCCTCGCCCACGCCGATGTTCATGTCTTGCTTCTCACGGGTGTAGATGTCTTCGCAGTCCTCGAGGTTGTCCAGGGAGTTGAGCATACGGTCGTCCACTTCGTAGATCTCACCGGTTACATAATAGCCAATGCCTGGCTTGTTCAGGAGGAAGGGAATGTTGTAGCGCGTGGCAATGACCAGCGGCAGCTTCTCTGTGGTGGTGGCCTTGCACCAAAACTTGGCAAACCCATTGCTAGAGCTGGCGAGGATCGAGTTGCTCGGCTGACCGTACTTCAGAGCTCCGTAGACGAAAAGTTTGCTCAGAGCAGTTGATGCTTTCTGTGTAGGTGTGGCATCGGTGTCGGAAGAGAGAGAAAGGCAAGAAGTAAGGTTAGGTTAAAGACCCGATTTTCGGGGTTTAAGCAGGTATGGCAGCTGCCCAGGACTATTTTAATATCGAACACTTTGTCAAGCTTATCACTGATCCTGAGTATTTTCCATTCTTAAAAGCCCCCCTACCAACTTGTTGATAACGCTCGACACACGAGTCACAAGTCTGTTCGTCTCCGCGATTATATTCGGTAGTTTCGTATTTATTTTTAAAATTTGTGTCGCGTTCTGCTGCTGGGGAAGGTGATGGGGATGATTGGTTTAACCGGTTTGGTGCATTCACACTTTTTTTGTGTTTTTGTTATAGCACTCATTGTGTTATTGTGGCTAACAAAGCGTTTTTTCGGGTTGTTCCACTAAAACTGCGCAGCAGCTATGTACACACGCCTCCATCAAAAATAAGAACAACATACATACGTAGCTACATACATATATGATGTATATAGTATGATTAGTTGCATAAATAATTGCTTAAATCGGTCTAATCATTTACTGTAAATGGAAACCACACGCTATCGCTACACAACCTATTATCCGGCCTTCAATCAATGTCATTACTAAATGAACCGTTGCATTGAGGCATCTGCTTACATAACTCTCAGAACAAACGCACACATAACACACCCACACAAATATTAGCATACACGATATACACCTTAAAGATAACATCAAGAGTAGCACTTTCCACGAAACAAAATTAAATCTTAAATTTTAGCTTTTCCCCCGCTTTCCTTTTTGGAACATTTTCAACTTTCCAAAGCCAAAGGACAACAGGATACGCACACATGTGAGCAAGTGTGCGCGTGTGTGTGCAACGCCATCTCTTTTACGTACCTTGACTTGGCCCATTTTTTGCTTTTATGGCGTCTCTTTCTGTTCAGCAGGCTGTCTTAAGTTAATTAAAATTGCAAATTGCTGCAGTTGGCAAGAGAGACAAGAAATACACGCTCCTCGATGTGGGGAAAAAGCTCCAGCTAAAAAAGACCGCGCCGTTGGAAAGCAAAACTCCAACTAAAACGCGACGGAGAACAAACGGAACACGAGTGCTGCTTTTGCTGGGCCTGGTCGGTCCCCCTCCAATAACAAGAAATATGAAAACACGCCACACGCGCGCCTTTAAAGACGCCAACGCCGCCGTCGACGTCGCTGCTGATGTCAATTCTTTGCTTTAGTCTTTATCTAACAAATACCCTGCAGTCAGCAGACATTCTAGGCTGTGATTTAGTTAAAAACTAGTCCCATTTTAATACACATTTTCGGAAATTATCCTTATCGGAAAATCAAGACAACACACACACACACACACACACAGGCAAACAGGTAGCTGTCCCTTTCACTCTGCCACAGCTACGCCTCTGGAGCGCACGTACGCATGTTTTACTCTTGTCAGCTTAGCTCTAGTTTTTTCCGTCGATCAGTGGTCGATTAAAGATATAATTCATTTAAATTTTCTAGCGACGGGCCTTCCTTCCATGTGCCAGAAACAATAACAATTCGCATTGTAATTTGGCGTTGAGTCTCGCTCTCTCTCTCTCTTTCTCTTTTCTCTCTCTTGTGTGCGCTCACCATTTGGATGCCCTACAATCGTTGCGTTGAGGCATATCAGTTCGAAGAGAGCTCAGAGAAGTAAAGCATTCAACAGATGTTTATATAAGCGAAATAAAAATAATTTAATTATAGAATCTGCAATGGCAATTCGAGAAAAATTCGAACGAGTGACGTCAGCAGTAAGGGAACTTAAAACAGACCGAGAAGACTGCATCCGTCTGTCCCCAAGGTTAATAGTATTTTGTGCAAATGCCATTTTGGGCATAATGGTGGTGCTTGTGTCGGCAGGCACACATGTTGGGCGCGAAGCAGTAGGCATGGGGTCCGCAATCGCTGCAAAGGATTCACATATGAGACTGGAGCGAAGATAAGGATCGATGTACTTACTGCTTGCAGATGGGCGTGCACTGCTGCCCGTGGAGCAGGGTGGCGCGGAGCTCATAGCCCTGGGCACAAATACATTGTCCATCGTATGAGCATCGTCCGTGGGTGCATCGCCTGCAGAGGATACGTTTAGGGATCATCTTTTATCCAACTGCAATTCAACTTACCCGTGGCATGGGTCCAGGAGGCGTGCAGTCCTGTGTCGACAACGTCGGGAAAGAGCATCAAAGTAGTAGTGCCTGGCCCTCCGGCACACACACAGATCCGGCGCGGCACAGAACCCACCCGCTTCTTGACAGCCTGGCAGACACTCGGCGGCACAGACTAGTCCATCCGGATTGGCGCCCACGTACTGGTCGGCACATGGGCAATCGCCATCCTCAAAGCACACGCCTTCCTGGCAGACAATGTTGCAGCGTCGCACGCACTGCCGGGTGTTCACGACAAGCATTTCGTAATCGGAGCACAGTGGCGGTGGCTCATTGATCTCCCAGTAGCCGTAATCGTAGTAGTAGTATCCTTGCACCAAGACGTATTGCAGCACCAGTTGAAGGAAGACCGCCCGGCCCAGCATCTTTTACAATTGCAAATGATCTCCTCCATGGGAAACGATACCGATGCGGGTCGGCGTGGGCAATGAGAGTGAAAGTGATTACCGGAGGCGGCGCAATTTGTGTACAGAATCCATTAGTCCCGTTATTGCGGCGGTCACGATCGCCCGCCATGTGTAAACATTACGTCGATGATGCAATGGACAACTGATAACCGCTCGCCCGGAGAGCCTCTCAATCTAAATTACAACAAAAGCATTTGCATGCAAACGAAGCCAACAGACGCCGACGCTCATCGACATTACTCATCGCAGCAGCTGCTGCTGGGAGCTCGCATAGTGGTGGGGCGGAGAGACAGAAAAAGAGAGAGCACCCAGCGAGATAGAGAGGGAGACCCAATATGAGCGCAATTCTGGAATGTCTGGATTCCTCTCTCGATGGCGTCTCCGCAGTCACCCCCACACCGCATTGCCCTACAACTGGGGACCCCGGCTACGACATCGACAGCGACTCCAACTCCAACTGTAGCTGCAGCTGGTTTGAATGCGCCCCATTCATTCAGTCTTTTGGGGTCTGAGAGCAATGTCGGGCCTCCCAGTCCCAGTCCCGATCGGGCAACGGCAACGATAAAGACAAAGTCAGCGGCACCACAGAAACGGCGACGCCTGCGCGAACGGAAGTTCAAAGTGTGGCACAAAGTTGCAAAATCGAAGGCAATCGGTGATTGTAGTGCGATCTCGAATTCGCATCGCAATTGGGTGTATATTGAAGAACAATAAAAACGCAAACGCATCAGAGTTCTGTTCTCTATTTTCTGTGGCTTTTCTTCTCCATCCAACGTCGAATGAACCGCTTCAATTGCAATTATAAATTGAATGCTCGATTCTAGTTCTCTCCCACTCCCCCTCCGTCATACTCGTCGTGCTTGCGAGTGTGTGTGTGTGTGTGTGTGTGTGTGTGTGTGTGTGTGTATGGGGTGAATAACATAAAACAGACAACGGGCGAAAGCATAAAATAAACAATACCATTTCGGGCGGTCAGCTGGGAGGAAGTTCTGGCCCCAGCGCTGCTGGTGGTGGCGCAGCGCAGCAGTGGTGGTGGGTGTGGGTGTAGGCCTGTGCTGTGCTGTGCTGTGTCCGTTGTGTGGAAGTGCGTGCTCGCGCAAAGCTATTGCTTAGAGTCTATTATGTATCCGGCAAGTGCTGACGCGTTCGCGTACTGACATCGCCATCGGACAATCTCTGAACTCTGCAAAAACGAATCATCCAAAATGTGTTACGTTATCATCACAAGCGGCAGTCTAGTCTGGTTCCTCTGCACCCTGGTTGCGGACATGCTCATAGCGGCGGCCCTGGTCACGCCTAGGTGGCTGCTTGGTCCCGCCCAGCCCGTGAATGGGCACTCCTCCGTCTCCTCCAGCCAGCGCCATTCCTCCGTGGGCATCTACACCCGCTGTAAGGTGATGCACCAGGTGGGCTACCACTGCGGACGCTTCGACCTGGATGGCCTGGCGACAGACAGCAGCGTCTATCCCAGCGAATGGAAGGTGGCCATGTTCTTCATCTCCCTCGGATTCGCCCTGCTCTCGGTCACGGTTCTACTCACTCTGCTCACCTGCTGCCGTCAGTCAGCGTTCGGCAAGAGCATTCACAACATGACCGCCTGCGCTCAGGTGGTGTCAGGTGAGGACATGCTCCAGAAGTTGTTCACTGACAAGAGTTTGCATATACTAAAACTTGTATTCCAGGAATCAGCGTGATGTTGGCCCTTTTCCTGCATCCTATGGGTTGGGGAGCGGCTCGTGTCCAGCGGCTGTGTGGTCCGGAGGCAGAGCCCTTCTATCCTGCCGACTGCAGTATAGGTAGATACTAAATGAGATTTTCCGCAAATGCGAGCTAAAATTAACACGTTCCCCACACAGGAATCTCATTTTACTGCGGCGTCATCGGCATACTCCTCACATTTGCCGCCGCTGGCATCAGCTTAAAGGCGGAGTCCTCCAACATGCGCACGCGCGTTCGTCGACGCGTCGAGGAGGGCAGCAAGCTGGTCTGCATTCCATAGCTGTAGCAGCCCTCGAAAATTGAGAACTTCCATGCAGCGAGAATAATTAACTTCATTTGCGAATTTACTGAAACTAGTATAGCATAAATAAACCTCTAACATTTCTACGATTTCTACAATGTACAACATCTGGCGGAGTGCCATGCTTCTATTTGTTGCGCTTGCCCTTGGCTTTGCCTGGCGGTTTGCCTAACACATCCGGCTGGGCCTTTGGGATATAGACGCCGTGATTTGTCTTCTTCAGATGCGCAAACAGTTTGTTCTTCGAGTCAAACACAAGACGGCAGGTGACGCAACTGTGCTGTGGCTTTGTTGCATCGGCGTCGGGTGCCTCTCGCTCCTCGCAGCTGGGTGCGACTACTGTTGGTGTGGCTTTGACCTCCTTTGGCGGCTCTGCCACTTGCTCAGCAGACTTTCCCTTGCTGCTCGCTGACTTTTTGCTCTTGCTCTTCTTGGCCGACTTTTTTCCCTTGCTCCAGTCGTCTTCAGAGTCGCTCTTAGCTTGGTTAAGCTCTGAAGGAATAGGATCATCGCTAGGGGCATCGCTGTCCTCTTGCTGCTGTTGCTGGGCCACAGTTTTCTTTGACTTTTTGTTTTTCTTGCTGCGTTTGATCGGCGCTGAATCCTCTTCATTAAGCACATCTTCCCCTTGGGCGTCCTCCTGTTCGTCGTTTAGCTGCATTGCATCCAATGTTCCTTCGACCTCATTGAGACTATTTTCGGGAGACGCATCATTGAAGGCTTCCTCCTCGGCCTCCATCTCCTGGCGCAGACGTTCTACATTATCACGGTGCTTTTTGCTATCTTCGTGGTTGGCCTTGGCCTTGGCATTTTTGAATGATTTGTTGCAGGCCACACAGTATAAGTCGTCCACATACTCCAGCTCATACTCGGTTTCCTTGGCATCCAAATTCCCGTCACTATCTGCCTCTGAGCCGTCACCGTCTTCGTCTTCATCCTCCTCATCGGTGTAGTCGTCCGAGTCGCTGCCGTATGCCTGTTCCAATTGCCTAAGCTGCTCTTCGTAGCCCTCATTGAAAACTTTGTTCTCCTTGGCGGAGGCCATCTCCTCCTTGCGTTTGCGCCACTGCTCCCGACGCTTTTCCTCCTGCTTCAGCCGATTAGTCTCGGCTCGCTCCTCCAGCACACGTCTGTAGGCCAAGACACGGCGATCCCGCTTGCGCACAAAGCTCACCAAATTACGAATCTGCAGGGAAAAAGTGCATGAAACAAAGATATCACGAGAAACTTGGAAGTTGCTTACCTCTTCGTTGCGCTCCTTGCGGGCGGCTTGAACAATTTTTTTCATCTCTTTTTCTACCTTGCGCAGGATGAAACGTTCCTTAATCTCCCTCACATCGTACGGACACAGCCATTCGTATGACTTCTTGGTGGTGTAGGCCGTCCAGTAGGCGTAGAACGGGCCCACAACTTCCTCATAGCTGCTCTCTGAATTGCCGAACGCGGGTGCGCAGTCCATCTCATCATCGCTGTCCATGAACTCAAAGTCCTCGGAGGCAATCTTCACGAAGACATCGGCATAGACTTTGTAGAAGCCCTTCGCACTATCGTCGTAGCCTTTATAGCAGGAGCTCGTGAAGTAGGGGAACACATCCAGGCAGTTCTCCGTATATTCTGAATTCTTGCCCCGCAGAATCTGCTCTCGGTGGTTGTCATACCAGGACCGTTCCTGTGCGTCCGAGAGCACTTCATACGCCTGTTGAATCAGCAGAAACTTCTCCTTGGCCTCAGCCAAGCTTTCTGGATTCTTGTCGGGATGCCAGCGGAGCGCCAATTTACGATAAGCTGTTTTGATGTCACCATCGTTGGCGTCTCGTTGCAGCCCGAGCTCCTCGTAGTAGCAGCGCATCTTGACAAAGGTTATAAGGGCTCTTTAAATTTCACGTAAGCTCTATTTAAACCACGTTTAAAAGCGCATGTTGACAACAAATTTCGATTCGCAGCGAAAATACGTCGGAACAGCTGTTGCTCATGAATGCGTCGCATCATTAGTGTTGCAAAACGATGCGATAACAATCGATAGAGCTCCATCCAATCCGACATATATGTTTCTCTCGCTCTGACTGCAGGCATTTCCCATAAGACTATCACTATTTTCGAATTTGTGCGTTTAAAAGTCAAAAGCACCGTAAAAAAATTGCATACTTTGAAGCATGAACAGTTAACTTTTTACATTCCATAATCTTATTTAAAATTATGTCTATCTAATGACAATTAATTGATTGCAGTGCATGGGAGCTCCCTAAATTTTCAAACCTGCAACGGAAACCGTGAGTGTTGTTGTCGCTGCGCTGCGCATCCTTCATTCGCTTTTTTTTCTTCGGCGGCAACGGACGCTCAGCTCCTTTTCTCTGTTGCCGCGCATTCGCTTTTCTCGCCAATACCGCAAACTTACATACACAACAGAACATAGCATCACATAAATACATATAATACAAATAAGAAAAGGAGAAGCTAATCAAGTGCATAATAAAATAACTAAGTGTCAATGGAACCCGCAGGAGCACAGTGAATAAACTAAAGGAATCTTGCAGTGGTTTTTTCTGCTTTTTTACATATAATTTGCCGAGACATTTACAAATAATTTGCATGAAATACACATATTTAGTTTGCCATCGCCAATCAACAATAACAATACACATAAAGTGCCAAAATAACGTAAAACATTTGAGTCTGCAGCAAGTGAAGAGGGGGGAAAAAGGAGAGAAATAGCTTGACATAAAAATTCACAGTTACGTCGGATTTACAACCAGTCGTCGCCGTGCAGAGTTGAGTCTGCGGGGGAGGTTTACCAAAGCACACAGACAACCCACACAAGCACACCCACACATACAGTTACTCGAGCGCACAGCACGAAACGAGGAGTGGAGTCACAGTCCTTGAAGCATCGTTAGGCAATAGAGGAGGCCAGGAAGCATCACAGCTTATAAACCACCCCAACACCGTGGCCCAAGCCGTTGGGTGCGTCGTTATTCGGCCTGAACGGGGAAAAAAGAGCCGCCAACAAAAAATAAACAAGCGAAGCTGTCTGTATGCACGCATGTGAGTGTGTGTGAGCCAGCGTATAGATTTACCGTTCGTTCGTCCGCCTTTCATCTCCCGTTCTCGTGTGTTTTTCTGTGCGCCTCAATAAAAACAGGCGTAATAGGAAGGAAAGGAATGATATTATGAGGCGGCAGACAAAGATAGCCGCATTTGCGAATAAGGTAATTTCGCATAAAATTCCAACACACAGACACATTTGTACATACATTATAGGAAGCATGGGAATTGCAAAAACTATTGAAACTGTGACCCTGCCCTGTCTGAAAGTCGGGAGGGCTTTTGTGCTGTCATAAATGGATTTTCTTATCAGCCCAAAGTGGCCCCAGGAGGACGTTCGGCCTCTATTGTTGCAACTGAATTGCATTTGAAACAGAGCACACCCTAATGGCCACCCCACAATCTCCTCTCTCTGCCATTTCAGTTATACAACAGACAACAGTCCGTCCAATTTCGTTAAGATTAGAAGCTATCACTATGTTTGGATCCAAGCTGCGCTCCTGGATGGAGACGCACATCGTGCGTCCGCGGAAGAAGGGAAACAAGCACAAGCAGGCCGCCTCAGAGGCCTCGCACAGTGGCAGCACCTCCACTGGGAATGGCAAGAAGGCGGGCACACTGCCTCCACAGGGAAGCAACCTCACCAGCCCCGTGCTGACCAGTAGCGCAAGCCACAGCATCGCCAGTCCAGTGCGGAGACGCGAAGTATCTCCCATTCAGTGCCATGTAAGTAATTTATTTGGTACATTGTCTGTAAATATCTCTAACACGAAGCTCTCTAAATTGTGCAGCCTCCCAGTCGTCGGTATGGATGGCAGTCACCAGATGAAGATTCATATGTCATTACATCGCCCAAATCGGACAATCTGCTGTATGCCCCACAATGCTACCAGCCACATCAGCAGCTACAATATCAGCAGCAACAGCACCAGGCCCATCACCTGAGCGTACCCAACTGCAAGGACATCTCCTGTGTGGAAAAGTCACCCACCAAAGTGAACTGTTCCTCTTCGTCCATTTCGTCGCTCTCCTGGTCGACTGGATCCAAGGAGCCCTCGTCGGGCAAGCAAACAACATTCAAGGAGCAGCAGTCCAATGGGGAGTACCACATTCCACCCGAAGAGGAAGATGAGGTGGAGTACGAGGAGGTGGGCGCATTGCTGTTGCGGCCCCAGGCTCCTATAAGAGACTATCAGCGTCCGCAGTCGGAGAACTTGGCCGGCATGCGTCTGATCTACGAGGAGGAGACCAAACCTAACTCCAACCACGTCCGTTATGGCCGTCTGCTGCCCTCGAAACTGGCGCCTGCTCAACTGGGTGATTCTGTGGACAGCCTGATCACTGCTCTTCCAACCATTCCACCAGCTGCAACCACTGCAGCCGCTGGCTCAAGGATTCGTACACCACGGGGAGTGCAACGCACTAATTTCATGCCCGGACCGCGCCCCCATAGCTTGCCATCTCCGGAGAGCGCCTACTCCACGGGCTACTCAACTGACGGCACCTCGCCATGCGCCGCCAGCAACTACAATCCCCCCGAGTACTACATCAACATGCGCTCGGGCACACACTATTTCCCCAAGAGCGTCAACTCGCTGGCCATCGAGGCTCAGCGCTACAAGTTCGGCTTGAATCGCATCGAGGAAATGTCACCCATGGACCCGTTGCCTAAGAGCAACTTTGCTAATGCCGTTCACGGCCTGGAGTCGTCGCCCAGTCCCTTAGCTCTTCGGCAGCAACCAAAGCTATTTGAATGTGAGTTAAAAATTTAAAGTTTGGTCAGGTCCGTTGTTGGAGTGCTCTCCCTTTCTTTTAATCGAGAACCCACCCAACAACAAACTGAGCAATTAACCCATTTAGAGTCCCGGCTCAACTCAAGTGTCATCCCACTCACATGTGGCGCATCCCCATTCCCATTGCAGCACCCTCGCCGAGACAGCGCTGTCGCATAAGGACCAATCCGTGGTACAGCACGGCCGAGCATATGCCACCCTCCTCTTCGGCGCCTACGCGTCTGGAGCTGGATGCCACCAGCACCACCTCCACCACATCGTCGGGCATTAAGTCGGGCAATGAGCTGGAAGTTCCGGCTGCCAAAACAACAGCCGCAACAGAAACAGTAAAGGGAGCAGCATATGCAACCACCATCACCACCAGCTGCAGAGGCACTCCCAGAAAGTCTGCTAGAGTCGAGGTGGAGGGTGGCGTTGCACCTGGGGCAGCTGGGGGAGTTGCTTACGAGTCCTCGGAGGGCTCTTCGTCGTCGACTGAAGTGGAAAATCTGCATGCCCCACACACCATAAAGCGGCGCCACTTGGAGCAGGTGGAGACGACAACAACTTCAGCCCCGGTGGCTGCTGGCGGTGGCGCTGGAGTAACCACCACCTCCTTCATGCTCAGCGACGATGAGGCCACACTCAACGAGATGATTGGCAAGTTTGACGAGAGCTACATCTACGAAAAGGAGACAGACATACTCAGGTAAGTCAGTCAGGCAGTCCCAGCTTTCGTGTGTTTCTCAATTAATTTGCTTACTTGTCTCACACTCTGCAGCAGCGATTCTGACCCCACAGATGACTGTGCCTCGGAGCTGGACACCGGGCAGGATGCGGGCGATGAGTGTGATACGGATGAGCTGCTGGACATAGATTTTATTGACACCTCATCCATGCAGGAGGTGGTCCTCGACCGTCAGGATCTTTCCCGCAATCTTGGAAGCTGCCAGTACTTCTTCAACCAGCCGATCAGTCCCTTGATCAAGCGCAAATCCTCGACCCGCTCCCGTCGGAAGAGCGGACAAGAGGCGGCTGATGGTTCACAGCAACGACGGCGGAAGCGTTTCCTCAAGACGCGTAAGAAGAGCTGCGAGAACCGCGAGAAGCTCCCAGAATCACCACTGCGTCAGCCGCGAGGCTCGCGTAGTGTGGGCGGAACGCCAGTCTGCCTGCGTCGAAAACTGCTGGGCCCCAAAGAGAGGTAAGATGATCGGTCTGACAGTACAGTGCTATATAAAATATTCTTTTTTGACTGTCAGGATCTACAAGACATCGCCGCTATCGAATCGCTCCAATTCGCTGATCTTTGGAAGCATCAATGAGAAACCCTCGTTGACCATTGCCGAGAGCGAGAAGGCGCTGCTGAAGGCTGACTTGGAGGCGGACATCAAGTACAAGCAGCTCATCATGGAGGCCGAACAAATGCTGGAGTCAATGAGAAACAGCTTGCAGAGGTATCACCTACAAGATTCCTACAATAGAGGATTGGATTCTACTAATGAAATATTTTCAGTATTCCACGGGACACACCCGTCGCCAGTCCGAGGCGAGTGAATCCCTTGGCCAACAAGCGCGTGGAAATGCTCAAGCACAGTGAGGTGGACTCAAAGAAGCAGCCGGCGCCACCGGTCACTCCTCCGTCGGAGCATGAGCTGGCCGCCGCCATCAATAAGCGCATCGAGATGCTGAAGTTTGCTGAAAATTCGACAGCATCATCGCCACCAAATAGTCCCAAACCTGGTCGCTGCAGTCCACGGAAGACGCATCTCACCAACTTCATTAATCAGAATGCTCCACCCGAGTTGCCGCCTCGCAAAATAAACGGCAACCCAACGGTAACTGCTCCGCTCTCACCGCAGTTGCAGTTGAATGGGAGGCGGCTCCAGGAGAGTCCCTTGGGCAATCGACGCATGATGACGGTGACGTCGACGACTACGACCACAACGTTCAGCTTCAATGACGACGACTCGGAGATGGACTGCATTGCTGTGGAGGATGTGGGCAATAACAACGTAGAGGAGCCTCTGCCAGCATCTCTTGGCAATAACAACAATTTCTATTGTCCACACAGTGAGCCGCTGAAGCGAAAGGTCTACAAGGGCAGCTCTTCCTTTGAGCGCATCAAGAAGAACTTTGACTTGGAGCTAGG